GTGCTACCTCATTTCCTGCTGGGGCTAGTAATCTATGCTCCTCTGAACTGGACTCTTTACTTGAAGGATGCTCAAAAACTCCCTCTGCATTGGTTGTTTCCATTGTTTTGGGTTTCTTCAGGTTGTTTGGCTGGTTTAGCTTGTGTTGTGGCTAAATGGTTATTGGTAGGAAAGAAGAAAGAAGGTGAAGCTGTGCACATTTGGAGCATAGGGGTGTTTTTGGACACTACATGGCAGGCCTTCAGAACTCTAGTTGGAAGCTACTTCATGGAAATGACAAGTGGGTCCATTTTCTTTGTGCTGTGGATGAAGCTAATGGGTTCAGAGATTGAGCTGGACCAAGGAGCTTATGTAGACAGCATGGGAGCTCTTTTGAACCCAGAAATGGTGGAGATTGAGAGAGGTGGATGTGTGGGAAGAGATGCTCTTTTGTTTGGGCACATATATGAAGGTGATGAAGGAAAAGTTAAGTTTGGAAAGATCAGTATAGGGGAAGGTGGTTTTGTAGGGAGCAGAGCAATAGCCATGCCAGGGGTGAGAGTGGAGAGTGGGGGCTGTCTGAGTGCTCTCTCCCTTGCCATGAAAGAAGAAATTGTCAGGTCAGAGTAAAGGGTTGTTGCTTGCATATTTATATATTTATGTACTGATAAATAAAAAGCTGTAATCCTTTGCTGCCTACATATGATGCAAAGCTGGCTGGAAATTTTGATTAAGTTACATATTTATCTCTATATATGTTGGGCAAAAACAGATTAACACGAATCATTACGAATCTAATCACAAATCAATCATGCCAATATAAAAGCCTCGGCATTAGTGTAGTCTAATTCTTTATACTTACATGTGTCCCATCTAGCAAATTGGGATGTCCGAAAGCAATCCTTGAATCAAATTCCTATTAGAATATCTTATATGAACTGATAAACAATGATCGATACAAATGATAATATACCTATTTACAAGAATCGAATCCTACTCCACAAACGCATAAAACAAATTATCATAAATAGAAAATTAAAGTTAGTTCCTTCCTACTACCACTTCCATCCAATGAACATCTTTACTAAAGTTATATAATATTCTTTTATATATAAAAATAGAATAAAGTACATGATATTGTTGTTTTCAGCATATCTATCGAGAAACTAATATGGTAGCAAATTCCTTGACTAGGAAGGGACATTCTACTGATAATACTTCTATTTGGTTTTATCATCTTCATGTGGATATTAGTTTTAGAAATAACTTTGATTTGTATGGTCATCAGATCTGCTGCGTAACTTGTTTGTAAAACTTTTTTCTTTAAAAAGAAAACATGATATTGTTGTTATGTATCTCTAATCTCACCTCTCCATATCTTTAGCTAACTAACCCTTCTACTTCCTTTTCCAAATACCCAATTACTTGTAGTGTGGTTTATGTTCAAACATATGTTTGTGTCTATTTCATAATGTCATTTACAACGCCTTCTTAAATGATGTTTGTGATGACATACGTAAGTTAGGTTAGTTGGCCAAAACAATATGCTCGCCTCCGATTACACCCGAGTTTGATTGCCCTTCACATACATTACAGTAGTTTAAAATATCATTTTCTCAACAAACAAACAAAAACACGAAGTTTGCGATGTATATTCCCCTCCTCCTTTTTTATATTTTTCTTACGTGCTACATATGGACAAATCCATAGTTTAAGTGGATGATGATGAGGTTTCGAACTCAAGGTCGAGTTGGGATTAGTTATTGAAATCAAAATCTTGATATTATTTTAGACTTTGCAATCTGAAATTATCAGCCATTGATAAATTAGAGCATGCTTGGCGGCTATACTTGGTGAAGAAGGGCAAGGGGAAGGGTCGATAGTGATGCATGGCAATTATCCAATAGGATGCTCTTTACTTTTTATAAACAACTCATCATATATTTTGGTCTGCCTATACAATCTTAGGAAAATGCCAACTATATTAGATTTTACACGTCACATAGTGTAGCATCTTATCTGGCCATAATCATGCTTGGAATCCATTGTCATTTTATTATTTTTATTCCTCCAATAGATATGAAAGCAGAATAACAAGAGAGACACGTGTGGTTGGTGACGTGTAAAATCTTGTATTATTTAATTATCATTGTTTTAATTGGATAAAATGATCTTTTTAATTAAAATTAATTAGGTTCTTAGTGTTAGTGATATCCATCAATTTCATACCCAAAAACCAAAGCATTATCGAAAATGCATGTTTAAATACTTCGGACCATACCAAAGAGCTTCTAGTATCCACATTGCTTCCATACTTCCATACTTCGGATCATAGCAATTTGGATACATTTCTACAAATAATATATAAAACATTAGTAGCTATAAAGCTATGATCCCTTTTGTTATGCTCATCGGGTTGGGCTATTTTATGCAACTATTTTTCTCAGTGTCAGTTTTTTTCTTCCCAAAATGTGTATTATATCTTAAATCATGTAAATGTATAGTGAAATTTATGGGTCATTTGCATAAAAGAACAAAAAATAATCCTCACTGAAAAAAAAAAAAAAAAAATTTTTATGAGATTTTAATCATTTTTGGGTTGTGCGTGATTTTCTCCATATCAATTCAACGTGTTGTTGTGTTTGGTCATTGGAGAAGATTTTACCCATATTCGACACATAATTGCTTTGTATTTTTGTTTATTTATCAATAAAAACTATCGCTTATTCTTTTTCTTTATTTTTTAAAGTTCCCTTCAATTGTAATTGCTTCTGCTGAGGTACAAATTACTAGTTACCTGCAAAAAGCTAATGTTTTAATACGAGAAGTTAACCTACTTCTTTGTTGACCAAAACGCACGAATTTTGTTCAAAGATGTTATTTATTACACGGGAGTTCTATATGTTTTTCTATCAATTGAATTCACTTATTATACAAAATGATTGGTATATTAAATGAAGTGAGTTAATTTTCCTATTCCTCTTTTGTCAGTTTAAACTTCCTTTGTTGGAAATTGTATGTTCCCACTCCTCTTTTATTCACTTACACTCATTTGTTGAAAATTATATGTTATAGTAAAAAAAAACATTAAAAAAATAAAAGGGAATGTAAGTGGACAAAAGAAAACTGGGAAAATCAGCACCCTAAATGAATTGAAAGGTTCACTTACACTCATTTGTTGAAAATTATATGTTATAGTAAAAAAAACATTAAAAAAATAAAAGGGAATGTAAGTGGACAAAAGAAAACTGGGAAAATCAGCACCCTAAATGAATTGAAAGCTAACATCAAAATGAGAAAGAAAAAAAAGCGAGAAAATGAGAAGGAAGTTGAAAAAATGGCCTAGATTACATTTTTGTTATTGTACTTTGACCTAATTTGCATTGAAGTCCCTATAATTTTGAAAGTTGTTTTTTATATGTAAATGATACACCAAACTAAAACAATACAAAATTCACTTGAATTTTTCATTAATTTTTAGCAAATATATATCTGCTGTGCAATTCTTTAAACTTGGTTTATCTTTTCTGTTTATGCAAAGCAATTCAAAAGACATCACGAACACGAAGCTAAAACTTGATTAGGTATAGCAATTACACACATTCCATTAGAGTAAAAAGGCACTAAAGTATATTATATTTGCATTTGTTTTATTATTAATATTTTTTAATAGCTGAAGTCGAATAGATTGGAACTGAAATTAGGCAAGAGTTCAAGCATTAGGAGGACTTTTAGAAGATTTGTCCAATTATTATCAACATAGTGACAGTGATTAATTGAAAAGGTGTTGTGCCCTTTGAGAATAAATTTAATCACAACCAAGTACTAGTTGGACTAAAATTTACGTAATTAGAGAATTTCTATATGATTTATCTATTTGCATACATGCACGTAGAATAATTGTAAAATACTTGCTAGGCAAAAGGACATACTATTCTTGAACCAAAAAGTACTTTTTTTTTGGGGGGTAATTTGTTGTTCTAATCGGTACCAGTCCTCGAATCTAAGACCTGCTGAACTTTAATTATTTAACATTTTCAATATGTTTTTACATGTGTTAAATTGATGCAAATACATTTTCAATATACCTTAAAATTCATTGTACTTAGCATGTCTTTCCGGATGCAAATACAGATTTAGATACTTTTCATGGTGCAATCAATGGATAAATGCATCAAGCTATTGTCGGCAAGCATCCTTTTCTTTTTAAAGTTTTTTTTTTGGAATTTTTTTTTATATAAATTAAATAAGTATTTTTAGAATTTGCAACAATTATAGCAAGTTATTTTTGTACTTTCTGTTTGGGTGATGGCAATTTATTGTTTTTTTTTTTTTTAATAAATAAAGAAGTGAGAATGTACAATTTCTAACAAAGGGAGTGTAAGTGGATAGTGGGAAAATCAGCTCCCATAAAAAATTACTTCGTTAATGATTGATATATCTTTATATAGTCCCTTCTATTATTTGATGGATATGTTACGAGGTCTATTAGACATTGAACTTCAACAATCCGAAGCGTCTATTTTTAAGTCTTTATTCAAATATCATTATTGCAAAAAATCACACAAATTGAAAATATTAAGACTTTTAACAAGAAAATAGACAAACACGAGTTTTCAAAATATTATAATTATATAAATGATCTTGAAGGAAAGACTTCTATAAACTCTTTGAAAAATCAAAGCATGTTATTGTCGTGTTGGACCCTTCCATCTTGAGGGAAAAAAAATGCTACGTTACTCCAAAAAAAAATACAAAAGGAGAAAGTTATCTTTAGCAAACCAAAAGAGGCACGTATTAAACATTTGACCAAAAAAAAAAAAATTCTCACGTATTAAACCCAAACTTTTAATTTATTAATAGAAAAAGGGGATTCGAACTTGAAAATAAAACATTAATTAGTGTGTCTGTGATATTTCAAAAAATAAAGGGGAGGCCAGTAAAATTAACAAATTAACCATTCCGTAAACGCGACGCAGGAGATCATGCCTCGGTATTGGCAACTCAGAGGTGTTCTCATCCATTTGTGACACCCTTTGATTATGGCCGCCTAGCAATTTGCAATTCGCAACTCGCAAACTCGCATAGAATCACTTTCTCTCTCTAAATTATTTTATCTCTCTTCCTTCAATTTAGCATTGAATTTCCAGCCCTTTTAATTCCAAGCAAACCATATTTGGTTTCATTTCCCTTATTTGGATTCACCGTACTATCGCTTATATTGTCAGCTTCTTCACCAAAAGAAGAAGAGAGAGAGAGGATTCAAATTCAATAACCGAAAATAAGAAAAAAAGCCCAGACTTTTAGGGTTTGCACTCTTTGGATGCAAATTAAGATTAGATGGGTGACGTTGAAGAGATTGGACCTGATATTAGGTAAGAGTTTCGATATTTTTTTTTTGTGTGTGTGTAGGTAATAGAGTTTCAAGGTTTTTTTTTTTTTTGGGTGTGCCCAGTACTTCAATTTTGTTGGGTCTTCTACGAATGATATTTTTTGAGTTTATGGGTCTCTTTGAATTGTTTGTATTTTGGGACAAATTCCGTGTAAACTAAAAGAGTGCTTTTTTATTTTTGTTTTTGATCTTCCTTCTTATGAACCTGTTGATCAGAATCTGTTGTATCGTTTCAACTATGGGGAATTGGGCGTGTGGTTTTTGTTTATATGCTCTGCATATGAGCTTTTTGATTGTTTATTTTAGTTTCACTTATTGTAATCCAAGTCTTTTAGGAATTGTTAGAGGTCATCATAGAAAGAGATGGTTTCGTTTGAAGGGTTGTTTGGCAGAATATTTGAGAAATATTGGATTTTATTGTTATCTTTTCCCAATTTTTGTTTGGTTGCTGAGAAAGGGTGGGAGAGAAAAAGAAAAGGAAAAAACTTTTAGTATTTTGTTGTTGGTTGTTTGAGCCAGCATAACAAAAGTGTCCACTTTTACTGAGCCTAATACAATTGATTGGCTTTGACTGCTGAGAATCAATCTTCGTTTCGATTTCTTCCCATCAATTCTCTCAATTGGTTATTGCAATGATTGGCTTTGACTGCTAAGAATCAATCTTCATTTCGATTTCTTCCCATCAATTCTCTCAATTGGTTATTGCAATTTTACTGAATGGAGCATCCTTTGATTGTTAATGACTGTTGTATGACAGTTCGGATATAGAAGAAGACTTAAGGTGTGAAAATATTGCGGATAAAGATGTCAGTGACGAAGAGATTGAAGCTGAAGAGTTGGAGAAACGAATGTGGAAGGATCGAATCAAACTCAAAAGGCTCAAAGAAAAAGAAAAACAGAAACTTGAAGCTCAACAAGCTGCAGAAAAGCAGAAGCCCAAGCAGACATCTGATCAGGCTCGAAGAAAGAAAATGTCAAGAGCACAAGATGGGATTCTCAAGTATATGTTGAAGCTGATGGAAGTGTGTAAAGCTCGTGGTTTTGTGTATGGTATCATTCCTGAGAAGGGAAAGCCAGTGAGCGGTGCTTCTGATAACATCAGAGCTTGGTGGAAAGAAAAGGTGAAGTTCGATAAGAATGGGCCTGCAGCCATAGCCAAGTATGAGGCGGAGTGTCTCGCCATGAGTGATGCAGATAATAGTCGAAATGGAAATTCTCAGAGCATCCTCCAAGATCTACAAGATGCAACTCTTGGTTCTCTATTGTCTTCTTTGATGCAACACTGCGACCCCCCTCAAAGGAAGTATCCATTAGAAAAGGGAAATCCACCACCTTGGTGGCCGACAGGAAATGAAGATTGGTGGGTCAAATTGGGGCTACCCCATGGTCAGAGTCCTCCTTATAAGAAGCCGCACGACTTAAAGAAGCTGTGGAAAGTCGGAGTGTTAACAGCTGTGATAAAGCATATGTCACCTGATATCGCAAAGATAAGGAGGCATGTCCGCCAGTCAAAATGCTTACAGGATAAAATGACAGCGAAGGAGAGTGCAATTTGGTTAGGGGTTCTAAGCCGAGAGGAATCCCTCATTCGGCAGCCTAGTAGTGATAATGGGACATCGGGCATAACTGAGACGCCACAAAGTAGCCGTGGTGGAAAGCAAGCTGCTGCTAGTAGTAACAGTGACTATGATGTTGATGGTACTGATGATGGGGTAGGGTCTGTTTCATCCAAAGATGATAGGAGGAACCAGCCGATGGATCTAGAGCCATCAAGCAATCTTTGCAATAACACTCCTAATCATGTCCAAGATAAAGAGCGAGGTGAAAAGCAACCAAGGAGAAAAAGGCCCCGCATCAGAGCAAGCCCTGTTGGACAACTTCCTGCACCATCTCATAATGAGAATATACATCTTGGACCAAGAAATGATTTGCCTGATATAAACCATACTGATGTACAGATGATTGGATTTCGGGTTCATGACAATCAACAGGAAAATGGTACAAACACAACTTTACGGCCGCTGGAGAAGGATCTTGATATCCAAGGACAATTACCAGCATCTGAGTTTAACTACTACTCTGCTGTACCTTCAGACAACGTAATTTCAACACAGGGCATGCATGTGGGTGGAACACCCATGCTTTATAATGGGGTGCAAGATGCTGAGGTGCATCGTGGAGATAAATTTAACGCTTATAATCAATCAGCAGAATATCCGCCCAGTCATGACCAGCTGCCGTCTCAGATTGTGATGAATGAACCGCAGATTAGACCAGCAGATGGAGCCCATATACCAACAGTACATAGAAATGGAAGTGAAATTGCTGGAGGTGATTTGCCATATTATGTAAAGGACACATTTCAGAGTGAGCAAGACAGAACTGTTAATGCTAACTTTGGGTCTCCAATTGATAGCCTGTCATTAGATTATGGATTATTCAACAGTCCATTCCACTTTGGAATTGATGGAAGTGGTTCATTAGATGACCTTGAGCTTGAAGAAATGATGGAATACTTTGCGGCATAACTTATTAGGTCCTATGTCACATAGCTTAGAATGTAAGTCATGTTTCTGTCTTATATGTTACGTTATTTATAACTTGTGTCCAGATGTTTCTCATCTTGTTAATAACTTGTGTTCACAATTTGATCAAGATTCTTATTTCTCAGTGTTTCTCATACTTCCTTGTTTATAACTTTGTTCAGAATTTGATCAAGATTCTTATTGTTATAAATGTTATTTTTATTTAGGGACTGAAAAATTGTTGCATTCTTTGCCCACCTGGGATAAAGTCCGGTACTGTGTGTTGGACATATTCTCATCTGGGTTTTATCATTTGTGTATTCCAAGACTGTAAGTTATGATTATAATTTTTTTGAACTCATAATCTTGCAATCAAAGGGAACAGAATGATGTCATTCTGTGTTGTAGTTTCTTTTCACTTATCTTCAATAAGAATGAAAGCAAAGCGTGGGTTTCATGTAAATGAGTCAATCTTTTAGTCTGGGTATATGACTAAGTTATGATAATTTTCTCATTTCTATGCACAAGATGTCTTCTACTAGATATGCTCATAGTTTTTATGTCCACTTATCTTGATGCTCGTATCGTATGTGTAACTGGGAATGCTTACTGCATCTGGTTTATTCTTTTTCCTGCAAATGTGTTCTTTTTTCAGTTCCATTTGGCAATATGGTCTATCCACAAAATCATTGCTTTTTATATTAGTTGTCATTCACTGTAAGGTAGAAATGGTTTGAACTAGGACAAATTGAAGATAAGCAGTCATTCGCATGCTTAAACACTCATTCTTATAGAAAGACATGGTTTCTGAGTTCAGTGGTTTTCCTATAATTAGGTATACTATTCTACACTTCAAATTATGAGACTGGAAAAGTATGCTGGCTAAGAGCTGGCCCAGCCAAAGCAACTTTGAATCAATGAATATATATATATCTTGGACGGTTGTACCATTGCTTGATGATTTGAGCTTGGGGTCAGTATGAGTCCAAAACTAAATCCAGGCTGTTGTGATCTGTTGTCATCTCCTACATGAGAATATTTTGGCTCTGCTCATTGGTTTAGTCTTTGTATTGTTGTGTGACCAAGAAGCATCAGAGAGGATCAAGATTATTATTGGGAAGTCCACCCTTAGTAGAATTTTGTGGTATAGTTTTATATTACCTTAATTTTGTGCAGATCTGCCCATTAAAGCCCCATATTTTACCTTATATATACCTATAAAAATGATTTTATAGGAGCCATCAAAGTTGGTTGTTTTGGGCCAGTTGTGTAATTGGTGTTGATCCCTTGTCTAGGTCCTGAGTGCCAAGTGATTGCAGCTTCTGTTTTTTTTCTTTTTTTTGTGTAAATAAATTTGCAGGTTATTCAATGCTGCTTTATGCAAATCCAATTATTGCTTCCTTGTGAACCCAATTCAGGCTTAAATGAAGATCTTGGATTTTGATACTGTTTTGTAGGGAAGGCAGACACAGGAACTAGGGTTTCTTTTAACTTCTGTATGCCTTATTGTTATTGATGACGAAAGATAATCCCTAAATATGCCCAAATAACTTGCACAGGCAATGTTATTGTTTTGCTTTGAATTGATGGGAAAATAGAGAAGATCTTTCTTAAAGTTGTGATTTGGGCTTTTTCCTATCTATGGTCAAGGGTACAATTGTAATTCAAAGTAGTAGGAGAAAGGCAAATGATGATCGCGTGGGCCCCACGGGAAATCATTGGACAAATGGCAGTCCTGAGTCCTGACTCTCTCTCTCTCTCTCCTCCTCTTTCTGGCCATGCTGGCAGAGTACCCCTCCAGACACAGGAGACCCAGTCCTTACCTTAATCGTGCCCTTACCTCCGATCCGGTCCCGCCACGTGTCCCATACCCGCTCTCTCTCTCTCTCTCTCTCTCTCTCA